GTGGAATGTCTGATTGTTAACCTATTAGCTTGGCACTAATTAAAAGTCAGTGGTGATAAAAATGCCATAAAAAGCTAGAGGCTGAAAATATCTTCCCACATCTGGCTCTAATATTTTGTCAGTTGATCACGGCAGCATCTTCTGCGCAGTGCAAAAGCAAGGACCAGCAAAGTATTAAATTTTACAGGTGTGTGACTGATTTATATTGCACCAGCCACACACAACTACATAACACAATGCTTTCACAAAATGAAAACGCGTGACCTCTAATAAGAGAACCCTGGTCCTCTCCCACAACCTGTCTGCCAAGCTGCTGTCATCTGAATACAAAGGAAAGGAAGATGATTTAGCTTGGATCCCTTTTTCACTTACAAAAAGTAACTCATTTTCATGAAGTACTGTTGTCAGCCTTGTTCCTATTGTACTTCATTTCTATAGACTACTTCCTTTTACTGAAAAAGGATCTGAAAGAAACAACCCTGTCACTTGACTCTACTGTTTACAATATGGTTTGGGACAGTAAGGCCCAGATCTACAAAGGTATTCAGGTGCCTAACCCCTCCCATCTCGCTCTCCCCCCGGCTCAAAGATTGTTCCACTGTGGATACTTAAATAGTCATTGAGTGAGAGAGAAAGAAAATGACTCTGTAGTCTGGTGGTTAGGACATCTATGTGAAGGTGGGACTCTTTGGGAGCCACACATCAGAATACCCTACAGTGGTTAGCACACTCTCCTGAGAGGTAGGATTTGAACAGGGGTCTCCCTTCATAGAATATCAGGGTTGGAAGGGACTACAGGAGGTCATCTAGTCCAACCCCCTGCTCAAAGCAGGACCAATCCCCAACTAAATCATCCCAGCCAGGGCTTTGTCAAGCCTGACCTTAAAAACCTCTAAGGAAGGAGATTCCGCCACCTCCCTAGGTAACTTATTCCAGTGCTTCACCACCCTCCCAGTGAAAAAGTTTGTCCTAATATCCAACCTAAACCTCCCCCACTGCAACTTGAGACCATTACTCCTTGTTCTGTCATCTGCCACCACTGAGAACAGCTGAGCTCCATCCTCTTTGGAACCCCCTTTCAGGTAGTTGAAAGCAACTATCAAATCCCCCCTCATTCTTCTCTTCTGTAGACCAGTTCCCTCAGTCTCTCCTCATAAGTCATGTGCTCCAGCCACCTAATCATTTTTGTTGCCCTCCGCGGGACTCTTTCCAATTTTTCCACATCCTTCTTGTAGTGTGGGGCCCAAAACTGGACACAGTACTCCAGATGAGGCCTCACCAATGTCGAATAGAGGGGAATGATCACGTCCCTCGATCTGCTGGCAATGCCCCTACTTATACAGCCCAACTCCTTTAGCATCCTCTGATGCATCCGGCCCCATGGACTTCTGCTTGTCCAGCTTTTCTAAATAGTCCTGAACCACTTCTTTCTCCACAGAGGGCTGGTCACCTCCTCCCCATGCTGTGCTGCCCAGTGCAGTAGTCTGGGAGCTGACCTTGTTCGTGAAGATGGGCAAAAAAAGCATTGAGTACATTAGCTTTTTCTACATCCTCTGTCACTAGGTTGCTTCGCTCATTCAGGAACGAGCCCTCACTTTCCTTGATTTTCTTCTTGTTACTCTTAACATCCCTTGGTAGCTGCAACTCCAAGTGTGAGTTGGCCTTCCTGATTTCACTCCTGCATGCCCGAGCAATATTTTTATACTCCTCCCTGGTCATTTGTCCAATCTTCCACTCCTTGTAAGCTTCTTTTTTATGTTTAAGATCAGCAAGGATTTCACTGTTAAACCAAGCTGGTCGCCTGCCATATTTACTATTCTTTCTACACATCGGGATGGTTTGTTCCTGCAACCTCAATAAGGATTCTTTAAAATACAGCCAGCTCTCCTGGACTCCTTTCCCCCTCATGTTATTCTCCCAGGGGATCCTGCCCATCAGTTCCCTGAGGGAGTCAAAGTCTGCTTTTCTGAAGTTCAGGGTCCGTATTCTGCTGCTCTCCTTTCTTCCTTGTGTCAGGATCCTGAACTCAACCATCTCATGGTCACTGCTTCCCAGGTTCCCATCCACTTTTGCTTCCTCTACTAATTCTTCCCAGTTTGTAAGCAGCAGGTCAAGAAGAGCTCTGCCCCTAGTTGGTTCCTCGAGCACTTGCACCACGAAATTGTCCCCTACACTTTCCAAAAACTTCCTAGATTGTCTGTGCACCGCTGTATTGCTCTCCCAGCAGATTTCAGGGTGATTGAAGTCTCCCATGAGAACCAGAGCCTGTGATCTAGTAACTTCTATTAGTTGCCGGAAGAAAGCCTCGTCCACCTCATTCCCTGGTCTAGTGATCTATAGCAGACTCCCACCACGACATCACCTTTGTTGCTCACACTTCTAAACTTAATCCAGAGACTCTCAGGGTTTTTCTGCAGTTTCATACCAGAGCTAGGGTGACCAGATCAGAGAGAGAAAATATTGGGACGCGGGGGCGAGCAAAAAAAAAAAGGCAGTTTCGCTGCACACGAAGGGCCCGGGGCCAGGAGCGCAGCGCGGAGGCTGCTCCAGCCCTGCGGCCCGCAGGGCAGCGCGGTGGATCCGGGCGGGGGCAGCGCGGAGCGGGCAGGGGCCGGGTGGGCGGCGCAGGGGTGGGGGCTGAATCCCTGCTGCTCTCGGCTGCGCCCCGCGCCTCTCCCTCCTGCTCTCGGCTGCGCTGCGCTCCAGTGGCTGCGGCTCCTTCCTGGCCGCACGCGCTGCCCTCCCCATGGAGCCTCCCACCCCCTGGGCACATGCGGTGCACGTCCTGCCGCCGGTGGGGAGCCCCGCGCCTCTCCTGCTCGGCTGCGCTCCAGTGGCTCCTTCCCGGCGGGTGCCCCGTGTCCTGACCAAACATCAGTCGGGACGTGGGACAAAGAAGCAAATATCGGGACAGTCCCGATAAAATCGGGACGTCTGGTCACCCTAACCGGAGCTCTGAGCAGTCATACTGCTCTCTTATATACAATGCAACTCCCCCACCTTTTCTGCCCTGCCTGTCCTTCCTGAACAGTTTATATTAATCCATGACAGTACTCCAATATTCCCCCTTCTAGGGGGAGAATTGCAACTGGGTCCCACACATCACAGGTGAATACTCTAACCATTGGAATAAAAATTATACGGTAGGCACCACCTCCTCTGGCGATTTTGTGTGGAGTGAGGCAGGCGCTGAATTCATTCCTGCAAGAAACTACTTAAGTTTCTAAGCTGCCTGACTCCAGGCAGTGGGTTCCCATTCGTGGATTGCTAAGCAGAGAGAGACACCTATCTCTGGGAAAGGGGCAGGGCTTAGCACACAACCTTGTCCATGGCATCTCCCACTGGCTAGCTCAGGCAGCTCCTTGCCTAGCATTCTGGCTTTTGTGGACAGTGTTCTGAGCTGCCTATCTCTTTCCATTCATTGTATAGGGAGCCTAGGTGCCTACTTCCTACTTTGTGGATTGCAGAGTTGTTCCTGTAATTTTCTAAGCCCCTAAAAGTTCAGCACCATTACTCTCAATGTTGTAACAACTGAGTCGCTTTGTGGACCCCACCTTCAGTGTCCGGAAGTACACAAAGTATTACAGAATCTGCATACTGACACTAGAGCTGTAGTTATCACAATCCCTAGGGGATGCTCCTCTGAAGTTCTGGGGCTGGCATCAACACTGTTTCCTAAATCATTTGTTTTGAGAGTTTCTAGGCCATTCAATTGTTGTCATTTTAGCCCACATGTTGGTTGGTCTTATGCATCATGTTTCATCTTCCAGTCACCTACAAGTCATCTATCTAATGTTAGTATTTTTTTAAAAAATCAGTGACAAAAGTCTTGGTTGTTTGAATTTCATAACTGCTTTTAAAAGTTGTTTGAAAACCAGTTAGTGTGGCTTGCCAGACCTTTTGGGTTTTTGGGGAGAGAAATTGTGAAGAAGATAACTCAAGTAACTCTTCTATGTAACATTAACCAAGGGCTGGTATAGAACTCCATCTCTTCTGTCTGATGGGTATGTTGTTGTTGTTTGTCAATACACTGAACTTCTGGTCTGGGCAAAAGTGATTTTCTTTTCTTTTTTTTTAATTTGCCCTTTCTGCTTATGAAAAGCTGCTTTCTATTTTCAACAAAAAATAGAGGGGAAAATTAAAGAGGCTTAATAGGTCAGCTGACACTGTGATTGGTGGGTAGTGGGTGAAGACATATGTGTTGGGAAAAAATTTCAAGTTGCTTTTTCTTAAAAAGCAAGGATCATAGTCTTTTCTCCTTTACCCTACCACCACCCCAGTGGAGTAGTGCCAGTTGTAACTGGGGAGAATTTGGTGCCAAATATCTATTGGACTATATATAATATGTGTTTGTATTGTCTGAGTTTATTACCCAAAGAATATGATCCTCTCTCTCATTGGTGTCAATGAGAATAATCTGGACCGCCTCACCAGTTTTTTCAAAGCATGACATATGGTGCAAGAGTGGGCAGAAGGTGATGGCTTGCTTATTTTTTCCCAAGGTTAAACGCAAGATCAAAGCACCAAGTAGGCTAGAGTAAACAAACAAAGCACATAAAAAAGCAAACAGGAAAAAATTAAACAATCAATTAAAACAGTTTTGTTGGACACCCCCCTCTCCTCTGACTGGAGCCTGTGTGTGTCCCCTCCCCAGCGAGCCCTACTCATGGTACTTTACCGCAGGCAGCGTGGGCCGAGCAGCCCCCTCGGCTCTAAGGAGAGAGCAGCACGTACATAGCGGCCTGCAGCGGCCAGGCCTTAGCGTGTAACGCCCGGGCGGGGGGCCCAGAGGAGAGACCCCGGAGAGCCAGGGCTGTGCTCAGGGGCTTTCTCCCCACGACAATGTGGGGCCCTGGGGCTAACCACGTGCTAGCGATGGGGCCGCGCTGCTGGACGCGGCGCCGCGAACCCCCCGCGCCCTGAGGTACAATCGCACCCGGGCAGCCTGTGGTTGGAGCCCCGGGAGCCCTGAGCGCACACAACCCTCCGCCCCCCACGGCAGCCCGGCGTCCGCCCACGCCCCTGCCCGCCATTGGGCCCTGTGCCGGGAGCCCCTCCCCAAGCGGCGCGGCAGCCGGGCCCGGGCCGCGCTGGGTGCAGCATGGCAGGGGAGCCGCGCAGCCCGCCGGTGAAGGTGCTGGCCGCCCAGCTGAGGCAGTGCCGGCGGGCCGCGGGCGGGCCCTGGCTGCTGGGACGGGAGGAGGCCGGGCAGGGCCCGCTGGCGGTGCCGGTGGTGTGGATGCAGGGCACGGTGCTGGCGGTGGAGGCCGGGGGCGCCCGGGGCGGCTCGGCCCGGCTGCAGGACGAGAGCGGCCCCTTCACGGTGCTGGGGGTGGAGCGGGTCCCCAAAGGGCGGCCGTGCCTCAGCGCAGGTACCTCCTCGGGGGGCGGCGGAGTGTGGGGCACCCGCATAGAGGGTGTGTACTCCCGCCCCGAGGGGCCCAACAGTCCGGCGGGAGGGGACCCCCCACGTCCACTGCCATTGTGGGGGGAGCTGCGCCTGCCCCGTAGGGTCCCCCACACCAACTGCCACCAGGAGGACCCCCCCCCCCAGCGCCTTCAGGGGGAGGAGCCCTGCTCCTCCTGTCCCATGGGGAACCCCCCACACAGGGGGGCCCCACTGTTCCTGCCCTATGGGGACCCCCAGACACAACTGGGGGGGGGCTTACTGCTCCCATTCCTTGGTGGGTACTCCCCCACATGCTGGAAGCCCTACTGTATTTGCCTTGTGGGGTTCCCTGCACACACACACCTGGGAGGGTCTACTTCTCCCACCCCATGGGTTTCAGTCCTAGGATTCACACGCATACACACAGCGACTCACTACATGCATGCAAGGGGGTTATATTGCAGAGGATAGGCAACCTGGAAAGATGTTTATGCCAGATGCTTTCAGGCCCAGATGTTCAGTGCACATAATCATATCTCCAACATTTCGAGAGGGTAAAGTATGCTTCAGGACTAGGAGGCCCTGGCAGCGCAGGTGGGTGCTGCCCCCTTGGTGGGGGTTGGGTGCTGCCCCAGTGTGGGGAGGCCCTGGTTGGGGCATTACAAAATGAGCCTGTACCATGCTCAGCACACAACAGCAGGTCCTGATGAGGCTCAGCTATCCGCTCCAGGCACTGCAACCTGGCCCCTGGCGCACAGGGTCGCGTTGCACATCACGGCTCAGGATTGGCCTGGCTGCCCCCAAACTTGTATGAATGGTGCTGTTACCTATCACACATGGTCACAGTGCCATTCTAATTTCGCACAGTCAGAGGGCCAGACACACCTGAGCATCACTGGAACCCTGTGTGTCAGGCGCCAGGTTATAACACCTGGAGCATGAAGCCAAGCCCAGCCAGCCCCATGAGACAGAAGCATCTTCAACCAGGACAGGAGGTTTGGGGGTCAAAAAGTCCTGCAAAAGTTGGGACTGCTGGGAGGTATGTATAATTGTTGCATGGGGGAAGGAATTTCTTCCTAATTCCCACCTGGTGATCAGTTTATGCTTTGAAGCAGGAGGATGTAATAGTCCACCATATATGAGCTAGTGGGACTGCAGATGCTGTTCTTACTCATACTAATACCTAATCCTTTTTCTTAAATGTATGGCCTAATTTTGTGACATGGTAAGAAATTCTCAGCTCTTCACACTATCAAGACTTTGATGACTCTTAACATTTTTCTCAGAGGCTCTGCCCTGCCTCACATTTTGGCAGGTTTGAAACAAAATAATTGAATAGTTTAAAATGAAATAATATTGTTTCCTGAGCAAGAATAATGAAAATGTTGAATGTTAATTGTTTTGTTTTCTCTTTTCTAGGAAAGTATGTAATGGTGATGGGCTTGGTACACTCCTGCAGCCCAGAGCCTATTCTTCAAGCTGTGAAGATGACTGATCTTTCTGATAATCCTATACACAGGAGCATGTGGAGTTTTGAAGTGGAGGATTTGCACAGAAACATTTCTTAGATGCTGGGTATTTTTGTCAGCAGCCCAAAGGACCTGGAAACATAAATGTTTGCTTTTACACCACATGGACCTCAACTCCAAGCATTAGACTCTCAGGAGTAGTTATAGCCTCATCTGGAGAATGCTTTGATAGTCAAATAACTTAGTCCACTAACTAACAGTTTTAAGAGTTATGGACAGGAGACCAAATTTACCATTGGAGAAAATGGGTACAGCTCTACTGACTTCAGTGAATTTGACTGAGATTCAAGATTTTAGAGATCTTTATGCTCATGATAACTCATAGGGAGATGGTTCATTCTCTGCTCCAATAATGTTTTATGCCAACAGACTAAACTGCATTAACTTTCCAGATAATAGTGGGTATTTCAATACTAGCTCCATTATTGTAGCTGTCATGTGTTAGAATGTAGGGCTAGGCAGTCACAGTACCATATTCTGTCCTCCATTTTGCCTAACACTCTTGCTGCCAGTGTGAATTCTATACCTGGAATAAGGGCAGAATGTGGTCCATACTGTTTAGATTGTGTTTATGGTAAGGAAATGGTACCTTGGCTCCATGCTTTTTCTTTCAATAACATCCGTATCCAGTTTGCTTTGTTGACAAGACATATGTCTTTTCTAACTGTAACCATAGTTCGGTGCCTAAAACTCTGCGGGTACAGCATTCATCTCTACAATATTAAGAGTAGCATGGTAACAAAACCTATACTTCCAGTAAACTAAACAGAGATTTGACACAGACTCACAGGGAGTAGATTTATCCAGGTCCAAAAAGTAAGTACTCTCACCACATCACACAATAAGATTATCTCAGCCTAATTATGCATCTTTATATTAAGTTTTCTTTCCCTGGAAAGACAGTGTTCCAGCATACACTCTCTCTTTAAAGTTACTGTTAAATGTATATTATTTTTACCTTTGTTACACTTGTCCTTTACAGGAAGAGGATGTATGATACTGCTCTTTTGCCCCCAAAATATTGTATTTGGTCAGGTTTCAATCATAATTCATGTGTCCTAAATAAATATCACGTTATCCATATACTGTAGCTCTGTAGGTTGTGGGGAAAGAGACAAGTTCAACAGTATCAAATAACAATGTTAACTAACTTTGAGCCTATGAAAACAAGCTTTTTGCCTTACTATAAACCACAAACTGAATTTAAGATCAGGTATTGCACTTTGAACAAAGCTTTTTCTCACAATTCTATCTTGAAGTAAATATTGTCCCCATATTTGCAGAGGCCCCTTTGAGGGTGTTGATGAAAGCACTTCGATTAGAACTTTGGGACTGCATACTTCCATCCTTGAGTGACCATGTCACTTCAGAGGCCTGGGTATGACTGAGAGGTTGTATTAAATGAGACCTTGTTGATTATATGTGGGATAAGCCAAGACGGGTGTACAGAATTTTGACAGTATGGGTTAATTTTTTTTTAATTTTTTAATGTTGGGGAAAAAGTCCACTTGTAAAATGTAGCCTGCCAGCAAATTCTCCTCGGTGTCAACATTGTCAGACAACCATTTTTAGTTGTTTTGTAACAGGTCCCTTCACGTCTTAATGGTTCTTATTCTAAGAACTTGAATTTCATCTCAGAATGAAGAAAAATAAAGTTCACCTTGACATGCATGGGAATTAGATTGTGTGTAAAAAGTTTTGATGAAAAGGGCCAAATTCAAACCTTGTGTAAGGGAGTGCAACTCTGCTGGCTTCAGTAGACTTGTACCACTTACATCGCAGCTACATATGGCTCAAAGACCTTTTACTCATAGTTGGCTAGTACATAATGCAACAGATGTGAGTAGTGCATGTTCATTAAATGTATATCTCAGAAGCAATCTTTACTCAGTGTTGACTTAAGTATTGCTGACTTGAATTTAATTAGCAATATCTCTATATCCTCCCCACCCTCCTGGTTCATGAGTCAGGGAAGCCCCAGGGATCCTGCTGATGCTCCGGCTGCTGCCAGGGGAAAGCTCTGGGGTTCCCGCTGCCACTCCTGTCACTGCTGGGGGGGGAGGGGAAACCCAGGGGGCCAGCCACTACTCCGGCTGCCCTGGGACCGCTGCCGGGAGACACCAAACTGTGGCGGCTCCCACTGCCCCCGGGACCACTGCTCAGGCAGTCCCCGGGGCCAGCTGCATCAGCCACTGCTTGGACAGTCCCCAGGGCCAGCCACACTCTTCACTACAGAAATCACAGAGCCCTACTTATGAGCAAGCTATGCAGCTCTAGTTTTGGGTTATTAACTATTCTATTCCTTAAAGTTGAGATTGTCCCAAACTAAATCACTAGATCTGATCACCCCAAGCTTTGGGATGTTTCAGAATCTACATGTGGATCTAAACTTTGTAGTTGGAGTTCTCTACTTCTATAAAAACTCAAAACTGGAGACAAACTCTTGGAAAATTGGTGACCTTTGTTTGGCCTAAAGCAATTACTATATTTGACAATCATTGGCTTGTAAAAGTTGCCTAACTGTAGTGCGGCTTCAGAGTTTCTTTGTAACAAAAAGCAACTTACGAAGTATACTGCAAAGATTTTATGTGGATTTTTTTTATAATAGCATTAGATGGTTAGACCAGCCTGAGTCGTTGAAACCAGGTTCTTTTCTGGGAACTCAAAACTGAAACAGGTTCCTAAAAAAGTTGAACTTGGAGCTTGTTAGCAAATGAACAGTTCTCTCTTTTCAGAGCTTTTGCCCTTGCTTCATATTTATAAAACAGCAACAATATTGTGTTTTGCTCAGTGAATTGCTGTTGACTAGGCACGTGGACAATATGTCCCAAGTTTTATGGTATTGTCTGTGGTACTTGTCTGTGGTTGTGTAACTTATTGTGCAACAATGCAAGTGGTGAAATAAGTTTCCTTCAAGTCTTTCCATTTCCTAGTCCACACACTGACTTTCTTTTTCTAGAGCCTAGGACTTGAAAGGGGAATGGGAGGTGTCCATGTGAATTTGAGTGCTTTGGGGTAAATAAAGGAAATAAGAAATGCTTACTATATGAGTTGTAGGCACTAGAAATACTGAGTACTCACTATTTTTCAAAGGGCTTGATACTCTACATCTCCCTGCAGGGAAGGCCAGTATTGATATGTATGGTTGTTGAGGTACAATGAAGTGAACTGATGTAACTTACCCAAGCTGACACAGACTTTGTGATAGATATCAGTTAAGAACTCAGGAGTTCCTGGCTCTTGCATTGTGTTCAAACTGCACACCTGGTCTGACTAAACCACACACTTACTTGAGAGAGCATTGATATGTTCCTTACACAGCCTTTCTGCTGTTTGCCATTTTACAGTCTCATTCGCATACTAAAATACTGTCTTTATGTGAAGCATAAATATTTCCACAATACCTTTGGCAAAAGCACTTCACAAATCAAGCTGTCCTAAAATTTTCACTAACAACTTACAACATCACTAGTCCCACTCTAGTTAGCAGCTTAGTGGCCAAGCATCATTTTTTAAATACCTAAAATTGCAGGTTTGAATAGAAGCAGGGTCAAATCCCAGTGACTCTTAAGGGACATATTCTAGGAGGGCTTGTGACTTCTGAGAATCATAAAAAGATTTTAGGTGGTCTGAGTGATGGTTTTTGCTCTCTCATAATCTGTGGCCACTGTATGTTTTACTCTTCTTGTCATGTTCTATAGATGAAATAGCAATGCACTGCTGCCATTTTAGCTGCAGAGCTCCCTAAGCCAGTCAACAGGAAGTGCAAGAATGTGTATTTTGCACTCTCCTCCCCAAAGGCTCTGCCAGTTTGATACATGAAAGACCTGATCTGACCCAGTTCAGGGAGCTACTTTTCCATCACAATGGCATCCTGCCATCGTTTCTGGGGAAGCTATAAATTGCCCACTTAAAAATCATCAAGAAGAAAACTTACCGTGCAAAACAGTAACACAAGAATGATTAAAAAATGATTGGCCTGTTTTGTTAACAGAGGAATGGATAAGAAAGATATTACAGGTTTCAGAGGTTGCTGCTGTTTTAACTCAATAGTATTTTTGTACAGATGTCTACTTTACAAGAAGCACTGCTCGATGGGTACTTATTGGCATCTCTGTTGGCAGTCTCTGCAGAGAATGGGCATGGAGAATGGAGTAGTCCCTCCAAGACACAGCTGGTACACAATTATGGGGCAAAGTGGGGAAACTTGTGCTGCTCTTGCCCATGCTGTACTTATTCTGTGGATAAAGCAAGAACGTCAGTTCAACCCTAAATTCACCAGCAAATAATTTATTTAAAAAGTAGCTTTGTTTTTTAAATTGATATCTTGTTTTCAGTAAGTGCATTGTACAGACACTTTTAGAACAACCTGTTTTTCTTTCTTGGTTTGAGTTCTATATTAATATCACTTACAGTTTACTTTGTTGTTAGGGTGTTTGGAGAGAAGCTTTTCAGTGTTTGAAGAGCAGAGATAGGCAAAAATCAAAAGTTTTCTGTTGAACTTGGTGTTAGCACCACCTCCTGGTCATTCAGTGGCATGAGTGTACTGGTAATACATGTCAGCATAGCTCAGTATGCATGTATGACTTTAGGTATATTACTGAATGCCTGTTAGCTTTCTCACATATTGTACTGATAAGTATATGGATGCTCACCCTTTCATTTCTATAAGGTGGATAGATCTCAGAAAGGCTCATGATGGGTTTAGTATTGCCCATCACATCCCATTTGTATATCATATTTGACATTGTAATATAAAATGTGGAATATTTAAACACTAATTAAAGAGTAATGTTTTTTGATGGATACAGTTATTTTAATGTATTAAGGCATGATGCAGTCTGTTAAACAGGTGTTGCATTTTGTGCCAGAAGTGTCTGCACCTTGTACATCACCTAGTATCTTACCTATCTTGCAGGGGCATGATGTGAGACTTAATTTTTTAACCTGTGGAAAGCATTTTGAGCTTGCCAGATACTACAGCAGAACAAAATACTCCACCACTAGGCTTTTGCTTGGCAAAACCCATTTCTCAGTGTCTTGCTTAATCTCCTCTGGGCCTTCTTCCATGCACCACCCTCCTCTGTGGGTACAGCCACTCAGTACATCTCCACAAGGTCCCTCTTAAAGACCCCCTTCTGCCTTGTCCTCTACAATTGCTGTGTATAAAAAAACTCCTCTGTCTACTTGTCTGTATGTCCTTAGATTGTGAGCTCTTCAAAGCCAGAACCACCCTCTTCTTGAATGTCTGGCAGGGGCCTAGTACAGTGTGGATGCTAAACTAATAATTGGCCTCAATCTCCATTGTGGGCTCTAGCTGTACTTTAATATAAATACTAAAAAGTATTAATTTAAAGCAGCAATGAGAGCTCTTATTAATTTCTATCTGACTGTTCTCGTACTCTCTTATTCTATGTGCTGACATTTCACGTTGTCCTTGCAGTTCAAATGTTTCCATGAGTATGATCTCAGCAGGCATATGAGTGCTTGGAATTACCAACACAAATTGGCTGATTTTTTTTTTTAAAGAAGAAATTTGTATAACAAAGTCACTATTCACCATTTACAAAGCTCCTATAAATCGTCAGACCAACTTCCAAATAATTTCATGGCAACCTAATCTTCACATGTTTAAACCTCAGACTTGCTAGCACCACTTTTTTGATCAGCATGGGTGGGATTTTTTTTGTCTTCCTAAAACTATGGTATAAAACCACACTGTAGACAGTCTCTCAAGGAGCTTAGACCTTGTTTTTTGTGAGGGGGCGGGGAGAGTCCCTGTCCACATTGGTTAGAGAAACCAGGCTAGCAATGGTCATATTTAAATGCCTTAAAAACAGCCCTTACCATAGTTTCATATATGTGCCCTGAACACGTATCTACTCCCAGGAAGTCTCCTGTGCTTGCAAGAACTCCCACTGACCTGAATGGGGCTTCCAATCTGCCCATGTGGAGGAGCTTTGCAGAATTGGGCGTGTACAGTGGAAGAAGCCTCTCTATTAACATCAAAACTGTATTAGAACCATGATATGGAATTGTACATTAGCTCTGTGAATGCTGCTTAAATATGATAAAATACATAGTGTACACAGGACCTTAGAAACTAATAAGGTTGGCAAAAATGGTGGAGCCATAGATCACATCCTGGATTAGAAACTTTTTCTACTGTCGAGCTATGTTAGCCATGAAACTGGGGATATCCCCATCTATTCTTGGATAAACATCAAGGACAAAGGCAAATCATTCTTGTTTGAACACCTCGGAAAGACAGCACCTACTCGCATCCATTGATACAGGTAATGTGGAATTTGACTGTTTATCTAAGGTATTATTTGTAAAGCACCTATAATCTTGCTACCTAGATATGAAAGAAATAGTGTAGCAGATAAAAATCGCAAAGAAGGAAGTTTTCCTGTTTCCATACCACCACCATGGCCTTTTGCCCAGCAGACAGGCACATGGATTTGCCTGCAAGTTAAAGCCATTTTAAAATGGCTTTATTTGTTTGGAGTATTCCATACCCTGTCTTTCCCCTACTCCTCTTTGAAATCAGTTGTTATTTATAGACACAAATTATAAAATAACTCTGGCCATCAATATGACTTTACTTCTAAGTGATTGGACTTTTCAGAGACCATAAATGGAGAGCAAACTGCAGAGTACTAATACAAAATGGCTGTGTGATGAGATAGAGAGATTAGATAGCTCTTGAGTTTAGTAATGCTTTTGACACAGTCCCACATGGCATTCTCATAAGCAAACTAAGAAATGTGATCTAGATGAAATTACTGTAAGGTGGGTGCACAACTAGTTGAAAGACCGTACTCAAACAGTAGTTATCAAAAGTTTGCTGACAAAGTGGGAGGTGAGTCCTGG